AATGAATGAATGAATGAATGAATGAATGAATGACATTATTTCGTGAGTTACCGGATAATCATCAGTGAATGTTTCATTAGCGTCATTCAAGTGGGATCGACAATAGACGTATGAAAGTGTTAATTAAAAGAAATTTCCTGGTACTCAACTCTTGCGCATACTCTCCTGTCTACAGGTACAATGACAATCAACGGGCCCAGGACTCCATGAACCTAACTTTGTTTCACTGGGGTATTCACGGATGGATCGTGTATGTTGTGGTGGGTCTTCTGTTGGCCTTTGTAGGTTACAGGCAAGGACTTCCCATGACAATGCGCTCCTGTATGTATCCCCTCATCGGCGACAAGATTTATGGATGGATGGGAGATGCTATCGACATCCTTTCCGTTGTGTGCACCATGTTTGGCGTTTGCACGAGCTTAGGACTGGGCGTAATGCAACTAAACGCTGGTGTTCACCGCTTAAGAAGCTCCATTGAGGTCAGCACCTTAAACCAGATCATCATCATCTGGTGCGTCACGGCCTGCGCTACAGCCTCCGTTATCAGCGGACTGAAGATGGGCATCCGACGGTTGAGCGAAATCTGTTTCATCTTGGGCGTATTTGTCATGATGCTGGTGTTCTTCCTTGATGAACCCTGGTTCACGCTGAACTTGCTTGTCCAGAGCACCGGTTATTACATGCAGACAATAATTCAGCTTGGCTTCCACACGGACGCTTTTGCTCAGCTAGGAAATGCCCCGGACGGAAAGGAGGCCGCGCAATGGATGGATGGTTGGACCATATTTTACTGGGGCTGGTGGATCGCCTGGTCGCCTTTCGTCGGCATGTTCATTGCCAAGATATCTAGAGGCAGAACCATCAGACAGTTCATCAACGCCACACTCACGGCACCGGTCGCTTTTTCAATCTTCTGGTTCAGTGTCTTCGGAGGCGCAGGCCTAAAGATGGAACGAAATGCAGTACTTGCAAACATAACTTGCACTTCACCGATCGGCGGAAAAACTGCAACCGAGTCTCTTAATGGTTTGTTTCGTTTATCCTGTCGTGGCAAGAACGATATGTGGTTCGACGTGATGCAACAATATGGAGACATAGGAACTTTCCTTTCAATCCTTTCCCTGATCGGAATCGTCCTTTACTTTGTCACCAGTTCTGACAGTGGTTCCCTTGTGATAGACTGTCTTTCGGCCAATGGCGACCCCAAACCTCCCGTCCTCCAGCGTATCTTCTGGGCTCTGACTGAAGGTGCAACAGCAACTGCTCTTCTTTATGTTGGAGGTGATAAAGCACTTAATGCCCTGCAAACAGTTTCCATTGCGTCTGGGGTTCCCTACACCATCCTGCTCTGTTTCATGTGCGTGGCGTTGTGGAGGGCGGTAAAGGTAGAAGCTGGAGACCTTGATCCCAATGGTCCACAGTTCACCACTGGCCTTTTGGATGTTCTCAGTACTCCAACTACCGAGAGCGTGATCAAAGTTTTCCTGAACATCTTTGCACCCTGGTACTCCATGTCAGTTGCAGCTGCGGAAATGGAAAGGCCGAAAGGTAGAAAGTGGACGAAGATGCTGATCCTTGCGATACCGTTCTACACTTGGATCGCACTTCTGGCTTTGGAATCCTTTGACATCGCTTCCGGGATATGTTACGTCGGATGGACGGTGCTGT